ATACCTGTCCTCGCCTGTTCTAAGTTTCAATACCTGTTCTTTCACTGTTGTTTTCCTTCTGATGTGACTGTGGAGTAGCTTTGGTTCGGTCTTGGCTTTGTTTGCTATATCATTTTCAAAATTTTTCTCTGTGTGTGCGCGCGCGCGCGTGAAGGCGCCGCTCACATATACAATACAATACAATTTTATTTAGGTAAGGTACATACATACAATAAATATTTACAAGGATTGTTTGACTTATAGGTAGAGCTAGTACATACAATGCCTAAAGCCACTATTACGCAAAGCGTTTCGGGCATATCTCCATAATACTTCGTCCCTCACAAAAAGTCTGATCTGTTTTCGGTGTGTTAAATGTTTTTTTGTATCGCCCGGGCATGAAGGATTTGGCAACGCTGCAATTGATTATTCATTCAGTGTGGCGGCTACATATGGAGGCACGTACGGTGAGGGGGGGAGGGGAGAGGGGGTATATATGTTGTTGTTATTGTGGCCGGGGATGGTAGTGTCGTGGTGGGGGGGGGGGGGATGTACCTGCCACGCCCCCCACCCCCTCCCTCCCTCCGCTTCCAGCCTTGTTGTTCTTCATTTTGAGCGGTCCATCTTCGTCCATCTTAGCAATTTTTTTCCTTAGAATCATTTTACGTTATTCTATCGCCCCCTTGTTCCACCATCTTCCCTGGTTTGTGGGTTTGTATTCACCTGAGGTGTGCTTGTGGGGGGTTGAACTCTGGCTCTCTGGTCCCGCCTCTCAACCGTCAATCAACTGGTGTACAGGTTCCCGAGCCTACTGGGCTCTATCATATCTACACTTAAAACTGTGTAGTGTGTGTAAGTGTAGATATGATAAGAGCCCAATAGGCTCAGGAATCTGTACACTTGTTGATTGACGTTTCAGAGGCGGGACCAAAGAGCCAGAGCTCAACCCCCGCAACCACAAATAGGCGAGTACACACACACGCACACACACTGAGTACTATTAATATCAGCCTACATGCCACTCCTGTGTGGCAACCTTCCCAGTCAACCTTGACAGTGTCCGCCACACACACACACACACACACACACACACACACACACACTTGGCAGTTCAACACAGCCAAACAACACAAGGCAAAACACACCCGTACCCCCCCCCCCCCCCCCCCGCTGACTGAACCCCAAGCTTTACCTAGACGAGCTTTACACCACCTTAGATGTATCTAACTGGCTTTACCTCACGTCTTAGCGTGTACCCCGGCCCCACCCCCAAGACCCGGGGGGGGGCGTGTACCCCGGCCCCCCCCCCCCCCAAGACCCGGGGGGGGCGTGTACCCCGGCCCCCCCCCCCCAAGACCCGGGGGGGCCGTGTTCCCCGCCCCCCCCCCAAGACCCGGGGGGGGCCGTGTCCCCCGCCCCCCCCCCCCCAAGACCCGGGGGGGCCGTGTACCCCGGCCTCCCAAGACCACGACACCCGGTCTATTGGCATGACCAAAAGTGGCACACGTACAAATGTGGCATGAACAAAAGTGGTACACGTGCATATGTGGCATGACAAAAAGTGGTACACGTGCATATGTGGCATGACGAAAAGTGGTACACGTGCATATGTGGCATGACGAAAAGTGGTACACGTGCATATGTGGCATGACGAAAAGTGGTACACGTGCATATGTGGCATGACGAAAAGTGGTACACGTGCATATGTGGCATGACGAAAAGTGGTACACGTGCATATGTGGCATGACGAAAAGTGGTACACGTGCATATGTGGCATGACGAAAAGTGGTACACGTGCATATGTGGCATGACGAAAAGTGGTACACGTGCATATGTGGCATGACGAAAAGTGGTACACGTGCATATGTGGCATGACGAAAAGTGGTACACGTGCGTATGTGGCATGACCTAAAATTGCACAGACAAACGGTGCATAACCATGATCAGTAATGAGAGCACAATCAGTAAAAAGTGACCTAATGGTGTAGTCGGGTAACTAACATCGCTGCTGCTGCTGCTGCTGCTGCTGTTGTGTGGAAGAGACGACGTCCCTGCACACACTCAAACACAACACGAGATTGTTTTTGGGGGGAGGGAGGAGGACAGAAGCTACGAGTCTACACTGATAGGTTACCGGCCAGTCATCGTTAGGAGCCGAGTACCCGTACAACAAGAGACTGAGAGCTGGAGCCACGCTCAGACACTGATTAGGGTCTAAGACTAAATATTATATATATATATGCGAACAAGCCTGAATGGTCCCCAGGACTATATGCAACTGAATTATATATTATATATTATATTATATATATATCCCTCTGGAACTTGGTGGCAGGTTAGTTTGTGATCGCTTCAACCATTGCTATTAGCACAGACAACTCTTACTACATTTGTATGTGAAACTTCGTCTTGAAGGCCCACGAGCTGTGAGCGTTACTGTACACTAGGCTTTAGAAGTGAGGAAGACACAAAAGTGGTCTGGGTGTAGAGGGGGCGGGTGGGCGGGGGGCAGCCTAGTGCATGAGCGGGGGTATCATACCTAGGCGTTACAGAATAATTGAATGGTCAAGTGGGAATAAATCTTGATAGACAAGCCCAATGATATGTTGTCAGACAGTAACTAAGTTCGAATTGACAGGCTGACGAGGGCCGTCAGCCTGTCAAAAGTCCGTTTGCTTCAATGCCTTCAGACAATTTAAAAATAGGCGACAAAGCGAGGACAACAGCTGACAGCATCAGGCCAATTGTGGTGGTGTTGGGGGGGAGGTGGGGAAGAGGGTGGTTGAGGCTTGTCTGGGGGACTTTGTGCACTCCACAATATAACCCGTGACACCCTACAGGGCGGGACTAAGCTCCTAAGCTCCTCCTCCTATTCCTCCAGCTTAGGGGGAATAAGGTAGTTTGTATCAGACAAGGCAAGAGTGTCCCTCCCTCCCTCCACCAGCTGTCCTCGACGCAAGAACATGACAGCATTCTTAATTCTATTTTGAGATTCGTAAAGAATTGTAGCTCAGTAATGAGAGCTGGACTGGTGCACTAAAAATACTTTAATTGATCATTAGATAAATACGATGTATAGTGAACAATATTGTATATCAGATTAAATACAATCAAAAACTATTTTATCCTGCAACAGAGGAGAGGCTTTGTCGAAAGAAGCAGTTGGTAGAATTGAAGAAATTATTATAATTATATATATATATATATATATATATATATATATATATATATATATATATATATATATATTTATTTATTTATATATCGTGACGATAATCTCCTTCAAGAGATTGAGCCTGCTCTTCCCTCCAAAATTCGTCGTTATAAATCTATATACAACTAATATGGAAGAAATATCCAACAAAGACAACATCTCCAAGGTTTGCCAGAGCGCAAAACGTATGCAGCCAGGAACACCTGCTCCACCTCGAACCGCCAAACTACCTGTCTGTCGCCTGCCCATCGCTGATTGGCTGCGGGTCCAGTTGCACCTGCCCTCCACCCACCACACTACCTGATGTCTGGGGCCACACGACCGCCAGACCTCAGAATATCCAGTGCTTTCAACAAGTTAACACGTCTCGTTGGTAGACTAAGCTGTGGCTTACGTGTACTAAGAGAGGTGGCAGCTTAAAGCCAATATTCCTGCACCCATATTTACATTGTTATACACTTGTTATTACTCACTTGTCTTAACGTAACTCTTCATTTTGCCATTAGCTTATTCTTATTATTTTGATTGATTGATTTTATGATACGAATTTGTATGTCCATTTTATTCATGTTTTGCTTTTCTAACGTAATTAAAATTTCATTGTTAAATTTACTTGTGTTTTGTGTGTCTTCCCATTACCTTACCACAGACGAAGTTCCAGATTTTCTATTTTTTGTTTCTATATGTGACGAGGCCATACCCCTAGCTTTTGAACAGCCGAACACCAACGCGTTACCGTCACAATATATATATATATTTAAAGGATGTCGAGTATTCATCAAGAAAAACCAATCTTAACAGCAGATTCAAGTTAGATAAATTAATATTAAAAATAACATACTACCACTATCAAGTATACTACGACGACTACCAGGTAGCGTCGGTTATGCCAAAATGGTCAGTTTTACAAATAGAATTTGCCGATGCATAATTTAGTCATTCTTGAAACAGAACCTGCCAAGGATGGTCCAAGAAGCCTACCGCAGGGCTCCCCTCTGCCAGCTCATGCTCCTGCTGTACCTACTCAGTACTATACTATACTCTCTGAAATTAAGTATAACTAAGTTATACTCAGTTATACTTAAGTGCAAAAAATGAAACTTACCTTTTATAACCAAATCAAATGGCAAAATTAACAAAAAAAAAATCAAGATAATTAAATACAAATTAAATCTAACCTAAAGCTAACCAAGTAATGAATGTAACCAAATCGATGTACTAGGAAATAGTAGCGACTCGAGGAATTGACACAATGTCCCATTTTCTGTTTTGGGTCCTCTGATAAGTTAGCATAAGCGCACCTTAGTGTGAGAGTTTCTTATGAGTGTGTACCAGCCGTGTTGGAGCCGGTCGGCCGAGCGGACAGCACGCTGGACCTGTGGTCCTGTGGTCCTGGGTTCGATCCCGGACGCCGGCGAGAAACAATGGGCAGAGTTTCTTTCACCCTATGCCCCTGTTACCTAGCAGTAAATAGCTACCTGGGAGTTAGTCAGCTGTCACGGGCTGCTTCCTGGGGGGTGGAGGCCTGGTCGAGGACCGGGCCGTGGGGACACTAAAAAGCCCCGTAATCATCTCAAGATGACCAGTTCCAGCCCCGCTCCTGTGCCAGGTAAGTCCACTACGGGCTGACCATGGCCCGTGCTATCTCGAACGTTCTGCTCCCAGTAGCTGAATCTATAACACCACCAACGAGAGTTTCTTGACGAGTGGAAATCTTGAGGACCACGTGGAGGCCTGGTCGACGACCGGGCCGCGGGGGCACTAAGCCCCGGAAGCACCTCAAGGTAACCACTAGAAGAAGACTTACCTGGCGGAAGATGATGTCAGCGTCGGCGGAGTAGCGGGTGGTGTCCTCGCCACCTTGAAGGAGCACCACACTCCTGGGGGCCGGGTTATGTTTGACCAAGCGCTTGAGGAGGCGCTGGCGGTTCTCGGCGTGCAGGGTCATGGGCACCCTGAGCGTGTGCTCGCCCATGTCGAAGTAGGCGGCCCCAGCGGCGTAGCGGGGAGCTGCGGGCCTGGGGAGTGTACAGTACACGTTATCATCATGTAGTAGTTAGCACACAGTAACCCTTATGTACACACACGTGTATGGCTCCTCCTGCACCTAGCCGTGTTGCACCTAGCTATGATGCAAACTCCTGCACCTAGCTGTGTTGCAGACTCCTGCACCTGTGTTGCACCTAGCTGTGTTGCAGACTCCTCCTGCACCTAGCTGTTGTAACACCCAGGACCTCCCCCCCCCCTTAGAGTTCACACCCAGGGAAGCCTTCTCCAAGAGGTCAGCCCAGATGACCTCCAGTTTATCTTGTATATTGATTAAAAATTCCTGGGTTAGTCTTAGTCAGCATAGTTTCAAGTATGTAATATTTCATGCAAGGGAATTAGACTCCAGATTCTTATGTGTAAACATCCCTGGATCTCCCCCTTTTGGCCAGGTCAGAGGTCAGTCACACACGTAATTAATAACTCTTCTCTTGAAGAGTGTATGGTGAATGTCAAACAAGCTTATTGAAATATTTCTTGAGTGTTTGTACACGTGTGGCCGAGCTTTTACATTCTTGGCAGGTAGCAACAGCAGATCTCCCCCTCCCCCCTGTGGGGGTTGTATATAGAGGTCCTATAGGGACTTAGTAAGGACAGAGTGCCGGACACCGGGGTCCAGAGAGGGCTGTGAAGACCATCTCGGCCAGGGAGAGACAGGTCTTAAGGTAACGTGTGTGATCTCTGAGGTTTTGTTCCATGTCCAAATTTCGTAACTTTTTGCCAGTGTTAGAGTAGGATTTATAAGTGGTGATTGACATAATTTTGGTCTCAATAAACTCTTGTAAATTTCCCGTCTGTGTCAATTGTTGAATCCTCTTAGCCTTTTGGATATAGTGGCTGACAACTGTTTTCATAATTAATGACAGTCATAGAAAGTACTCTCCAAGTCAAGCAATGTTTCTTGCCTCGTTGCTTGATATAGTCTCAATGGTCAAAGGCAGATGGTGGCAGCGTATTTAATCCTTGTGTTAGCATTTCCTTATTGGCAGTGTACTTTGTAGTCCCGGTGTAACCATCATATGTCAGCCCATAACAGTGTTACCAAGTGCAACCAATGGGGAAATATTACTCAGGATAAGTAGTGTTTACATTATTAGTTTAGTGTTCCATTATAGTGGTGTTACAATTGGGGGTGTTACACTGTTACAAACCCACAACACGTGAAGAATAAAGGAACCTTCAGAAGGCCTACTGGCCTACTCCAGGCAGTTCCCAATTATATCCACCCATATTTGTATTAACGTAGTTAGGTACGTCCACCCACACTCTTCATATGTCTATCCTACAATTTAAACAACCCAGCGATCCCACGGCAGTTATCAGGTAATTCGTCCCGTTTAACGAACAACCCTGTTTCCAAACCAGTATTTACCCAGGTCAATAGTTTCAATATATTTAAAAACCCTATTAATATCCAGGTAAAAAGCCCCACCCAGGCACCTGCAAATACAGATACCTGTCACTTTACCCCAAATTTCCGAAGCTTTATAAAAAATATTAAACTTACATACATACATATATATACATATACATATTTTATATAAAATTTTCACATTTAAAAGATAAACTTTTCCACGAAGTAACATTGAAAGTTCAACAGAGTAATCCAACATCAAATACCAGCACGAATCACTAGTCTCTCGACCTCATTTATAATTCACGGCCTAAACCAATCATCAAGCCGGACACACACCCATTGAAAAACTTTGCATCTGATCTCTGTGTAAAAGGTGTTCAACCTCCTGATTACCTCTGTATTATTATCTTGGCCTTTTACCAGAACTGCCGTAATTACTGCCAACTGTTTATTGCTTGTTTGTCTAGTATTTGCAGCCTGTGACATTTACAACAGGTAAATTACCCCCTGGTGAACACCTCCCAGAGTTGAGAGGCACGAGTTACAAGTAAAGGTTGCGGGGGACTCAATCAAACGTCACCGAGAACAGAATCCATAGTCACGACATACAAAATACTTACGTCTTTCCCTGTTATATTTCTAGCATGGGGGGGGGGGCGGGGGATGTTTAGTTCACTTAAGTGTCAGTCTTGCGAAGGGAACGTCGAAAATTTTGTGGGACTTTCAATGTAAATTTGGAGAGGTGTAGTTTACATGCTGGCGCTGCTTATCCTTGTACGGGTCTTACGTAGGTGGTGAATGTTATGAACGATGTTTTCTCCTGATCTCTGAAGGCTGCTCCCAGACGTGGCAACATATGCAACACCTGTTATCACCTCTTAGTTCATTATGTGCGAGTGTTTGCCTTAGGCTTATACTGGGGTGCTTACCTAACAGTGCTTATTGTTTGCCTTGGGTAAGCACCCGCGTACAGCCCAAGTATTTCCTTCTCTCCCTACAACTCGTCTGAGTTCCCGCCAAACACACACCGAAACTACGACGTTGGTACAACGTTCGAACAAGTTTTAACACCACCTAACCAGTTATAACAACCAGTATAGCAGGTTGTAACAACGTTCTAATACGTCATAAACACGTTAAGCGAAGATATAACAACTTTATTTCAAGTTGTAACAAGCGGAAAATAGAGACAGTTTCGGTTTGTGTTTCCAGGGTTTCCAGTGGCCAGCCATATTGCCTCATGCTGTGATTACTGAAATGCAAACATTTCTCACTTGTATATCTCGCGAAATTTTACCCGAGAATCAGTCTTGACATTGTCACCCTTCCCCCCCCCCCACCACAGCCCGATTCATCATGGTGAAGCTCAGCTCTGGGGCCCCAGCTTGGTTATACCTCTGTACCTCCAGCTTCGTGCTTCTAAAATACATCCGCGGCACATTTCACGCTGCGGATGTATTTTTCAGCTTCATGGTGTATAGTAATCTGAAGGTGAAGCCGTTGTGAGAAGGCGCCAAGCCAGACCGTCTTCTTGAGGCTCCTATCAGCAGTCATGCCACCTGCATAAGCAGACTGGAATGTGCATAGGCACGCCTGTGTGTACTCTTATACACGCTTGAAGGATGAGGTTTAGCTCTTGGGCCCGTATCTTTCAGCCACCGGTTTCCTGCTGCAATGGCGCCTGGCACTCTCGTTTTTCACCGCACCAACTCGTGAAAGTACATATGGAGGAGCTAGCCTGCAGCGGAGGAGGAGCTAGCCTGCAGAGGAGCTAGCTGTAACCTTCCCCTCTACCCCTACTTGCTCACTAGTCTTACACTAAAGAAGTGATCTCTTGCAGCCATTTGCCACGTGCCAGTTCCTAGTGTCCACCCATACCCAGTCACCCTTCCCTTGTGATTTATCCCAGCCAGTTTCACCCTGGTGCTGCTCAGCTCTTCATGCTAAATATTTCGGTTCTGCCTACTTTATCACTGTCTCTAGGGATCATGTATGTTGTGATCATGTCATCCATTTGCCTCTATTTCCAGCATGGTAAAGTCTCGTGCTCCCCGCCTCTACCCGCAGCTCAGTTCTACAAGGGAACAAATAGTCTTGTGGCAAACTTTTGACTTTTTATTATCTCAGCTTTGTGGTTGGTTGAGCGAGATTGTAACATTGGAGCTAAATACTGTATTACCAGCCTAGACTAACAGTGTACATTAAATATTCTATTGTCATACGTGTTTGTACAGTACGTATGCATATGTATATGTCTGTGTACATGTGTATGTACAGTACGCATGCATATGTACATGTACACATATGTACAGTATGCATCAATATGTACAGTTCGCATGCATATGTACATGTGTATGTACACTACACATGCATATGTACTTGTATGTATACATGTGTATGAACAGTATTCATGCATATGTATGTGTACATGTCTATGTACATGTGTATGTACACTATGCATGCATATGTACATATATGTGCACATGTATGCATGTATGTGTACGTGCCTGCATGTATGCATAAGAGTATATTCAGTTTCTGATTATCGGAGACAAGAAGACTATTAGGCTTATCGAGGTTCCCATTTACCAATTACCGATTGGACGTAGAGTAATGTAATTGGACGTAGATCCCAATGTACCTTCTTGTATATAAGTCTCCGTGGTGTAGTGGTAAGAGCAGTCTCCGTGGTGTAGTGGTAAGACACTCGCCTGGCGTCCCGCGAGCGCTATGTCATGGGTTCGTATCCTGGCCGGGGAGGATTTACTGGGCGCAAATCCTTAACTGTAGCCTCTGTTTAACGCAACAGTAAAATGTGTACTTGGATGAAAAAACGATTCTTCGCGGCAGGGGATCGTATTCCAGGGACCATAGGATTAAGGACTTGCCCGAAACGCTACGCGTACTAGTGGCTGTACAAGAATGTAACAACTCTTGTATATATCTCAAAAAAAAAAATAAATAAAATAAATATCCCTATCAGGCAACGGGAGGAGGGAGGGCCAAAGCTCCCCTACCCCCCATCGCCCGATGGGTGGGAAGGTCCCATATCCCATCAGCGGATGGATGGTGAGGTCTCCACCCTTCCCCCCCCCCCCCACACACACACATTGGATGAGGGGTGTATAATAACTTGTTTTGCCCACGCGTTTAAACCCCTCCCCCCCCCCCCCCCCCAAACTCCCTCCACACCGGACCCTGAGCAAGGCGAAACACCGTAAACAAAAAACAAAAAAAACCTTGTCCAGGTAACGAGAAGACTTCCCTGCTCGCTAACGTAATACACACATTGGTTAAATCAACGTCGATAGCTTAGGAGAAGTGTCACAGTTTCTAGTATTTATCATGTAAACATAACACAAACCTTCACACACACACACACACACACAGTTTCGGATCCACAGTTTGGATCCAAGAGTCAATGCTCGATCCTGCAAGCACATATAGGTGAGTACACACTCCTCAAGAGCTATTCAATAACACGTAAGATCTAACTTCCATATATGTGTTGACCAAAAAGTAACATTCCCCACCTCGTTCACTTGTCCCCCAACTGACGGTAAGAGAGCAAACTGGTTTGGCGGGTCCAAAGAGCCCAAGCTCAACAAGTAGGCGAGAACAAAGTGAATACATTGGAGAAGTGTATATATAAATTATATTATTATACATAATATATAGTATATAATATATATTACATAATATACGTATATTACATAATATACATTATATAATATTATATAATATATTATGTAATATATATTATATTATTATACTAAATTATATACAAGATTATATACGTTTTTGTAGAACACCAAAACAACAAACAACTTGTTTACATGCTGCCGTTGTCAGCACCAGATAAGGAGCCGCTGATAAGCGAATCACCTGACCAGCGCTGCCACACAGCCTCCCGCACTCTCCCCATAACCTCTTTTTAACAAATTAAGCTGGAGAGAGAGAGATAGAGATAGAGATAGAGATATACAGAGAATCAGTAAACACAGAATAGGTCACTGGCCTGTTGAACGCAAGAGCCACCACAAATATAATAGAACATTATATTGGCGCATCTCAATCGTGTTAACGGCCCTTGGCTGCCTTCCTCGGTACGGGGTACGAAAATAAATATCAATTTACCACTTAATATGTCTATAAATATAAAAATAACGTACACATATTTCCCCCCAGAAAAAAATGGCTAAATCCGAGCGCAAACTTTACTTCCATGTCAATATTCCCCAAGTCGCACTGACCAGCTGACCGTCATCCCTCCAGTGTAACCACGTGTTCTGCTCTTCACACACTACTTAGAACGTCAAAATGTAACCCAGCTACTGCCCAATCACCATAAAAGTCAATCGACGGTACAAGCTCGAGCTGTCATCGCCGAGCACAGAACAAAATGTTTGAGAAACAAAACTCACGTCTTGTCGTTGGAAGCCATGGTGGGAGGAGACTCGTTGCGCACCACCGCCTCCCAGCTGTGTTGTGACGGGGGCTAGCGCGCGGGCCTCCTCCACCACCACCTCCCTCTCATTCTTATATTATTATTTACATATATACACAAGACTTTTTACAGTCTTGTAAAGCCACCAGCACGTGTAGCGTTTCGGGCAGGTCCTTAATCCTATTTTACTCCGGAATACGACCCGCCAAATCGTTTTATCAACCATGATAAACCTATAAACCATTATCAACCTATACACTTCTGGGTGAACAGAGCCTACGGTTAAGAATTAGCGCCCAGTCAATCCTCCCCGGCCAGGATACGAACCTGGCTAAAGTGTTTAGCGAAGCGCCAGGCAAGTGCTTTACTACTGCGTCATACATTTATGTACAAGAAGGTACAATGGGCAGTGAGAATATTGTTAATAATAAAATAATAGTAATAATGTTTTTTTATCCAGGTAAAAGTACATACATAGAAAATGAGTTACAAACAGAATGTTGGATTTCTAGAGCTAGTAAATTTTGTTTACTAAAGTCGATTTTACTATGCCTAAAGCCACTAATAAAGCCTTTCGGGCATATTGACATTTGCTCGCACACGTGGCAAAAATGAGGAATATAAACTTATAAAGAAATGCATAGACTGCCCGAATACATCCAAAACGTGTATGTGTAAAGTGGCTATTAATTGCCACTTTACAATTGAGACGAGACTTGCATCTCTTAGTCTAATCGCGGATTAGACGTCGAGATGCAAGTCTCGTCCTCGCCACACACTCAGACCTTCACAAAGCACTCAGTCGAGTGCAAAAGACTATGTAAATTACTTATATAAATTTCGCAAATACACAAGTGTGGGGTTTTTATCCTACATTGATAATAATAGCAATAATCATTTATTTACAAGAAGGTACAATGGGTTTGTGAAATTACATAATATTGGAATTTTTACATTCTTGCAAAGTCACCAACACACATACCGTTTCGGGCAGAACCTTCATCATGATGAAACAGATGTCGTGTACCAGAGAAGAAATGAAACTTAGACATAAGTATACCCGTTCACATTGTCAACGCGTGAATAATTATACTTTGAGTCAAGTATAAGAATACTTGATAACGAAGTACGACCACTGAAGGAAAAAAAAAAAAAAAAAAAAAAAAAAAAAAAAAAAAAAAAAAGAGTCGTCTGGGCTCATCACGACCTGCTAGTGACATTGTTCTACATTCATTTTAAATATTATAGTAACAAAATATGTTGAATAAACTCGTCAACCTGTCCTCGTCCCCACCCACATAGACTTGTTCGGCTGAAGGCATATTGTTAAGTTCCTCTTTAGTAAATACAGATACAAAATATTTATTAAAAATACTACTCATCTCTTCATCGCTATCTGTTATTTGACCTGTCTCAGTTTTTAATGGACCTATCCTTTCCCTAGTCTTAGTACGATATAACTGAAAAAACCCTTTAGGATTTGTCTTTGCTTGCCCTGCTATGCGAACTTCATAGTTTCTTTTTGCTTTCCTTATCTCTTTTTTAACATTTCTAACCAGTTGTATGAATTCCTGTTCTAAAGTGACCTCCCCATTTTAATCCTTTTGTACCAAGCTCTCTTTTTACCTATAAGGTTCTTCAAATTCTTTGTTATCCACTTTGGGTCATTAGTATTCGATCTATTCAATTTGTATGGTATACTACGTTCCTGTGCTTTGTTTAGAATATTCTTAAATAAGTTATATATTGAATCCACATCGAAATCCCCATTTAAGTCACCTATCGCTGGGTTCATGTCTCGCTCCAAGACCGGCCCACACCCCATACCCAAGACTTTCCAATCAATTTGACCCAAAAAATTTCTTAGGCTATTAAAATCAGCTTTTCGAAAATCTGGCACTTTAACAGAATTTTCTCCTACTGGTCTATTCCATTCTATGCTAAATCTGATTTCTTTGTGATCACTGCTCCCTAGCTCACTCCCTATTTCGATGTCATAATTATTTGCGTTTCCCTGTTTGTTAACACTAAATCTAAAATATTATTTTCCCGTGTTGGTTCCTTAATGTGTTGCGTAAGAAAGCAATCGTCAATTAATTCTAGAAAATCTTCTGCTTCACTATTCCCTGTTTTGTTCAACCAGTTTATTCCGCTAAAATTAAAGTCACCCATGACATAATACTGTTAGATCTAGATGCTCTAGATATTTCATCCCATAGATGCTTTGCTTCCATTCTGTCTAAATTTGGTGGCCTATATATTACTCCTATTATAATATTATTAGCTTTTTCGTTTAATTCAATCCAAATAGTTTCTGTGTGTGGCTCTGTTTTGATTCCCTCTTTGAGACTACATTTCAAATTGTCCCTAACATATATGGCTACTCCACCTCCTCGTCTAATATATCTATCTGTGTGAAATAGTTTAAATCCATATATTTGATATTCAGCTAATAGTTCTCTATTTTCTACATTCATCCACGTTTCGGTAAGTGCAATAATATCTATTTTTTCTGTGCAGACAAGAGCATTTAATTCGTCAATTTTATTTCTTAGACTTCTACTGTTAGTGTAATATACCCTAAGTGAATTGTTATTTTGCGGACCTTCTCTTTCCCTGATCGTTTTGCCAATTCCTTTCTCCCACAAACACATACTTTTATTACCTCCTTCCTCCAAATCAATTCCCATACCTCTATCTACTAACAGTTTAAACCCAAACAAACACCTCTAACCACTTCTTCTAACGAGTTCGCAACAGCAACAACCCCAGCTCTCGATAGATGCACCCCATCACGAGCATACATTTCATTTCTTCCATAGAAGTGTTCCCAGTTGTCTATGAAAGATATTGCATTTGATTTGCAATATCTTTCCAGCCGGCAATTGACACCAAGTGCCCTCGATATCCATTCATTTCCCACTCCCTTTCTTGGAAGAATGCCACATATGATCGGGATTCCTCCCTTGCTCCTAACTAACTCTATGGCTGTTTTATACCTCTGAATCAGTTCCTCACTCCTAACTCGACCAACATCATTTCCTCCCACGCTAATGCAAATAATGGGATTGTTCCCATTACCAGCCATAATATCTTTCATGTTGTTTATAATATCACCAATGCCAGCTCCGGGATAGCAAACCCTTAACCTGTTCCCCCTATCTCTAGCACAAAACGTTCTATCCAAATACCTTATCTGGGAATCTCCCACAACTAATGTTTGCTTAGGTACTTCCTTTACTTTCTGAGGGGCCTGCGCTTCCTTTCTCTTCGTTGCTTTCCCTTTTGCGCGATCCACAGTCTCTCCACAGCACTCGTCCTCCAAAACGTCAAATGAATTAGAAGTTGCTATGGCGTTTGAAGGCGGCTTTATCAAAGTCTTCTTAAGGCCCCTGTCTTTCACAACTTTCACACATGTACATATGCATGTACACTATGCATGCATATGTACATGTGTGCGCACATGCACATGTTTGTATGCATGTATGTGTACGTGCCTGCATGTATGCAAAAAGAGTATATTCAGTTTCTGATTATCGGAGACAAGACTATTAGGCTTATCGAGGTTCCCCTTTACCAATTACCGATTCCCCTCCCCCCCACCCAGAAGCCACCCACAACAGTTGCCTCTCTCCGGGTTCCTGTGAATAGCGAGATCATGAATAGAACCTGGAACCTTTAGGTTGTGTGCGTGTATGTATGCCCATGTGCATATATGTGGATGGATGCATGTAATTACCTGTATGTAGTTACAGGCCGAGAGCTACGTTCGTGGTGTCCCGTCTTCCCAGCCAGCTGTCAAACTCCCAGGTACCTATTTACTGCTAGGTGTATAGGTGAATCAGGATGAAAGAAACTTGGCCCATTTGTTCCTGCCTCGGTCAGGAATCGAATCCGGGCCTTTAGGACTACGACCCCTGAGCGTTCTCCACTCAACAGCGAGTCCCCCGTGTGTGTGTTTAATTACCTAAGTGTAGTTACAGGATGGGAGCTACGCCTCGTGGTGTCCCATCTACCCAGCACTCTTTGTCATATAACACTTTGAAACTACCGACGGTTTTGGCCTCCACCACCTTCTCACCTAACTTGTTCCAACCGTCTACCACTGTTTGCGAAAGTGAACTTTCTTATATTTCTTCGGCATCTTTGTTTAGCTAGTTTAAATCTGACCTCTTGTTCTTGAAGTTCCAGGTCTCAGGAAATCTTCCCTATCAATTTTATCAATTCCTGTTACTATTTTGTACGTAGTGATCATATCACGTCCTTTTCTTCTGTCTTCTAATTTTGGCATATTTAATGCCTCTAACCTCTCTTCGTAGCTCTTGTCCTTCAGTTCTGGGAGTCACTTAGGAGCATGTCTTTGCACCTTTTCCAGTTTGTTGATGTGCTTCTTATGATATGGGCACCACACAACCGCTGCATATTCTAGCTTTGGCCTAACAAAAGTCGTGAACAATTTCTTTAGTATTTCACCATTCGTGTATTTAAAAGCAATTCTGAAGTTAGAAAGCGTAGCATAGGCTCCTCACACAGCGTTCTTTAAGTGGTCCTCAGGTGATACTTTTCTATCTAAAACCACCCCTAGATCTTTCTTTATCAGAATTCTTTAAAGATTTCTCACATAATTTATAGGTTGTGTGGGGTCTATGTTCCCCTATTCCACATTCCAAAACATGGCATTTATTCACATGAAATTCCATTTGCCAAGTGGTGCTCCATATACTTATTTTGTCCAGGTCTTCTTGAAGGGCATGACAATCATCTAAGTTTCTTATCTTTCCTATAATCTTAGCATCATCAGTAATCATGTTCATATAATTCTGAACAACCTTGTATATATCTCACAAAAAAAAAATGAATAAAATAAATATCCCTATCAGGCAACGGGAGGAGGGAGGGCCAAAGCTCCCCTACCCCCCATCGCCCGATGGGTGGGAAGGTCCCATATCCCATCAGCGGATGGATGGTGAGGTCTCCACCCTTCCCCCCCCCCCCCCCACACACACACATTGGATGAGGGGTGTATAATAACTTGTTTTGCCCACGCGTTTAAACCCCTCCCCCCCCCCCCCCCCCCCAAACTCCCTCCACACCGGACCCTGAGCAAGGCGAAACACCGTAAACAAAAAA